GCCCCCCCACTCGAAACCACTAGACACCACTTCCTCTGTAAACAACACAGGCGTCCGAGTTCCTCCTACCCCCACAACCCACTAGACACCACTTCTTTCCCAGAGAGCCCAGGCGTCCGGGCTCCCCCCCCCTCAGAGAACCCAGGAGTCCCAGAGCCAGCCCTGCCCTCACCTGGGTAGGAGAGATGCACCTGCTGGGGCTCGGGGCCGCTGGGGTCATGGCCCAGGGCTGGGGGCAGCGCCAGGCAGAGCCAGGGCAGCCAGTGCCACAGCCCCATGTCTCCGGAGTCACCGGGAGGGTCCTGCAGGGGTCAGAGGTCACGTGAGCGAGTGGAGGGGTGGAAAGCAGCCACGTTCCACCCCAGAAGCAGCTGCATGCCCCGACTCGGGGAGGGGGGAATGACTCCCAGCAGGGGGCCGTGGGGGAGAGGAGCGGGCGCCTGGGCTCTCCCACGGCTCTGGGAGGGGAGCGGGCACCAGTGGTCGGAGGCTGGATCCTGCCCCACCCCACTTCCCCAGCGAGGGAACTCAGGCGTCCGGGAGGCTGCGGGGGACGTCCTGTAACCATCACACCCCGCTCCCCTCCCAGAGAGAGAGAACCCAGGGCTCCCCCCGTGCACCCCCCCAGCTGCTCTAGCCCCTAGTCCCCTGGGGCTCCCCTCCCAGCGCTGGAGAGACCCCAGGCGGCCGGGTCACTTGCCCTGCAGCCTCCCTGCTCCCTGAGCCGACAAGCAGCCCTAGGAGGTGGAGGGAGGGCAGGACGATGTCACTGAGGGGGAGGAGCCAGAGCAGGGAGGGCTGGGCCGTCCCGCCCCCAGCTCCACCCACTAGGCCATGCTGTCTTCCCAGCCTGCCCCAGGCTTCCCTCTCAGCAGGCTGCCCAGGTGGTGGGGTGGGGGGGGCTGGGGGGCATCTAGGGGCCAAGGGGGGGGCAAGGGTATGGGGGGGGCTGATCCAGCTGCAGCGAGTACCCAAGTCCTTCCAGACTCGTACCAGGATTGGGCCCCTCTGGGGGTGGGAGGGGGCGGGGGCTCCCTGTGTGCCCCCCAGTGTTCCCACCCCCACATCGCTGGCAGGGAGCCAATCACATCTGACCGTGGGTCCCTGCAGCTGCTTACCGTATTGTCTCACCTATGATGCGCCCCACTACACGCCCCGCACCTGCCAAAGGATCTTCCCTTCCCAGCGGGGCTTGTCTTGCTCCCGGTGGATTGGCTCACCTCTGGCTCTCCAGGAGCTGCTCGTACCATATTTCTCACCTATAACGCGCATGTCCGTTTCTAGTGGTCACCCCTAACTCTGGGATTGGGGGCTGGTGGGTGTGGGGGAAGAGGAGACGCTGGAGAGATGGGATTTCCCCCTCCACTCATGGAGGCTTATCCAGCAGACAGCAACACTCTTATATTAATAGTCTGTAGCTCAGATGAGCTGCTCTTACTGTATTTCTCACCTACAGCGCGCATGTTCATTTCCAGCAGTTACCCCAAACCCTTGGATTGGGAACTGGGGGAGGGAGAGGAAATGCTCGAGAGATGGGATTTTCCCCTCCACTTGCAAGAGAGTCGTGTTCCCTAGCCTGCTGATCAGAGGAACTGCTCTTACCAAATTTCTCCCATATAACATGCACGTTTCCAGTGCTTACCCCGAATCCTTGGATCGGGACCCGGTGGAGAGAGAGAGAACGCTCGAGATGGGAGTTACCCCTCCACTCACGTAAGGTTATCCAACAGACAGCGTGCGCTGTTATGCCAATAGCCTATTGATGAGAGGAACTGCTCTGACCGTATTTCTCACCTATAACGCGAACATGCGTTTCCAGCAGTTACCCCCAAACCCCTGGATCAGGACCTGGTGGGTGGGGGAGAACACTCGAGAGATGGGAGTTTCCCCTCCACTTGCAAGAGTCTAGTTCCCTAATCTACAGATCAGAGGAACCGCTTTTACCGTATTTCTCACATACAACATGCACATTCATTTCCTGCAATTATCCCAAGCACTTGGCTCAGGAACCGGCGGGTGGTGGAGGGAGAGAAAGCTCGAGGCATTGATGTTTCCCCTCCACTTGCAAGAAAGTCTGGCTCCCAATCCTATTGGTCAGAGGAGCTGCTCTTACTTTCTCACCTGTCGCATACACGTCCATTCCCCCTCTAGGCCAATCGTTGCAGCAGGTCAGACCTTTGTCCCCCACTGGGGGTTCTGGTGCCTGGGATTTCCTGGCAGGAGGGGACAGTTTTGGGGGAGATTTAGGTTTTTAAAGGATTCTTGCTTTGTTTGGAGGCGGTGGGGCTGTCAGAGGCCTTGGGGCCAGCGGGCGCTAGGCCCGGATGCCCGGATTCCATCCTGGCGGGCGCGCGGTGCAGGGCTCAGCCGGGAGCCTGGATGCCTGAGTTCCATCGGCCGCATCCTGTGCCCGGCCTTGGGGCTTGGTACTTGTGGAGGGGGGCGTAAACGGAGGGGGTGGCCTGGTCTGTGTAACATGTGCTTCACGGACACGCTCGGAGCCCAGACCCCTGGGTTTCCTCCCGTATTTCTCACCTATAACACGCACATCCTTTTCCAGCAGTTACCCCAAACCCTTGGATGAGCAACTGGTGGGTGGGGGAGAAAGAACTTGAGAGACCGGCATTTCTGCTCCACTCCAGAAGGCATATTCCGCAGACAGCGCACACTCTTACACAAGAAATGCCCTACTTACCCTCATTTCCCTATTGCAGGAAAGTCCTGAACTCCTTGGTGCTCCCTCCATCTCTCTTCCCGCATCCTCTGCGGCCGGAAGCCGCTCAAGCTGAATCCTAAGGATCAGCATGTGCGAAGGCGGATAATGAGGAGGTTTCAAGGGAGTGGAGATGCACAGGCCAGGGGTCACACCCAGGGCTAATAAGGCCACTCCAGGAAATAATAATGGGCAAGGGTCATGACTCAGTTTCCCTGTTTCATTGGTCAAGAGACGGCTGTCTCAGAGATGTGGGTGGAAATACAGACATGGGAACGTGACCTGTATAAAACTCCTCCGCACCAAGGCGGGGGTTGCGGGAGTGAGGTGGGTCTAGAAGTTGCCTCAAACTACAGGGATGGATTCAGGCGCCCCCCACCCAAGACCTCGCCGCCTGGCAGCAAGCACATCGGTGCGTTCTCTGCTGGATGCAGCTGCCCGGGGTGATGCTGCCGGATTGGTAATATCGCAGTAAACTAGTGTCTGATTTGGAGGAACTTGCTTTGGGTTCTCCTGTCCTTCTCCAGAGAAAACAAAAGCCCCCAGAGACATCCCAGGGGCGATGCTGCCACAGACGACTTCTCTATAATCATCTTTTTTACTCTTGGGCATTTACTAAAACCTTCCAGGAGTAAACACATGTGCAGGAATCACAGAGCCATGGAGTGGACGGGACCCCAGAGGTTACATCTAATTCAACCCCTGAATCTGCCCTGCTGAAACCAGCCCAGACGTAGAATCACTGAGCCGTGGGGCTGGGAGGGAGCTCTAGGGTCACGTCCAGTCCAACCCCGGCCCGAGGCAGGATCAGTCCCGTCCAAACCAGCCTGGACAAACCCAGCGTCAAACCTCTGAGCAACACGACCATCAGCCCTGATACCCCACCTGCCCCTGCCCCCAGGAAAGCAGGGGGTCCATGAGGGGCAACATCCTGCTGCTGCCAGGGGTGGGGGCGTGTCATGGACGCTGGAGAGACATAGATTGAGGCCATGCCCCCGCTGCAGAGGAAGGCAAACCCCGCAAAGTGCGCACCAGTCTGAGCAGGGGGGAAATCCCTTCCTACCCCCAGTGCAGCGTCAGGCTGAGCCCGAGCGCAGGGCCAAGACCCTCCAGCAGGGACCCTGCGGGGTTGGTGCCAGCAGCATTGGCACAGCTCAGTCACATGCCCAGCCCTGCATCCCACACCTCTGGGGGAGGCTTAAACACACCCTGACTCACGCAGCAGCACGCAGGAGGGGATCAAATTCTCTCTCAGCTTTATGTGGCAACCAGGAAGACCCAGAAGCCTGGGAGATCCCCAGAGCAGAGCACAGGCATCGCTGCACCTAGATCACCCCAGCCCAGCCTCCCCTCCAGCGATGCCAGGTCCACAGCTACCCGGAGCAGACACTGGTACCTAATGCTTACACAGCAGCTGGGGTTTTGGGGCAAAAAAAGAGATGTGCGTCGTATGTGGGGAAATACGGTAGGTGATGCACTGTAGCCCAAAGGTGAGTTAAATACAGCCCGTGGGCTGGACCTGGCCCGCCAAGGGGTTCTATCTGGCCTGCAGTGGGTCCCTTGGCCCCACCGGTGGGCAGCATGTGGGGCTGGTCCTGCCGCCTCCGGGTGTGCAGTGAGGCAGGGGCGGCACGGCTGGGCTGTTTTCCTGCAGCCCCCGCGGCGGCAGCAGCTAGCTCGCACTGCCCAGTTGCTGTTGCCAGTGTTTCTGCTGCCACTGCAGGACCCAGCCCTGCTGCCTGGGCACCCCGACCTGTCCGCTTTCCCCGTCATCCCATGAAACAGAGAAAATAGGACCCAGGAGTCCTGCGTCCCAGCCCCCCCTTCCTGGAGACACAAATCCCAGCTGCTGCTCCAGGAAGAGTGAAGCTTTAATGGTGACATGATTGCAAAGGCCAGCGACATCACAAAAGCACATGGGGCCTCACAGCCTGTGCCCCTGGCCACCCCCGGACACCTGGGTTCTCTGCCTTGCGTCCCAGCCCTTCCCTTTAGAAGCCTCCCCTCCGGAGACCCAACTAGAGACGCAAATCCAGTCTGCGAGGAGCGAGGCTTTAACAGTGACATCATCATAATGACCCGTGACATCACAGAGGTGGGCCTCAGAGCCAGCCCCTTTGCCCCCCACTCCATCTCCGGCCACTTGGGGGCCTCACTTCTTCACTTTCTGCACGTGGGCGCAGTCGTACTTGCCCCTCACAATCTTGAGCTTGACTCCAGGCAGGTCCTGGGTCTTGCCGCCCTCCACCAGCACCTGGTGATGCTCCTGCAGGTTGTGGCCCTCGCCAGGGATGTAGCAGATCACCTCCCTCCCGTTGCTGAGCCGCACGCGGGCGCACTTCCGATTGGCCGAGTTGGGCTTCTTGGGCTTGCGGGTCATGGTCTTCAGCACCACGCCCTTGAGCTGGGGGCTGCCCCCCAGGGGGCCAGGCTTGGGCTTCGGGAACTTGATCCGACCCATCCGGTGCAGCTGATTCAGGGTGGCCATGGGGCGGGCGGGCGGCGGGCGGCAAGCAGCCGGGCCTGCGTGAAGGGACAGGAATTGTTAGTACCGTGCTTGGAATCGAGAGCCGCCGGGTTGGAGGGGGGAGAGCTACAGGGGTCACATCCGACCCCAGGCAAAGCCCTGCCCCTGCCGCAGAGGAAGGTAAAACCCCCAGCCTGCACCAGTCTGAGCAGGGGGGATCCCTTCCTGCCCCCAGTGCAGCGTGGGGCTGAGCCTGAGCGCGGGGGCAAGACCCTCCCGCCAACGGGAGCATCCCCAACCCTGAAACGCTACTGATGCATAAAGCAAAGGCGGGGCACCCGGCAAGGCCCAGAAGCCCAGGACACCCCATAGCAGAGCGTGGGCACCA